CGCGACGACATCAAGGTCGTTTTGAACCACTGCTGGTTTCTCTTCATAATCGGACTGATCAGGACCGCGGTTTATTCTTCGAAATGCATAAATGGAGATTCGGTGTTATTTTGGTCTAGGCCAGTGGCTAATGGATTACTGTCTGCCACGATATACTGTGGTTTACCGCATCCATACCACACATTAAAGGGAAAGACCGCCAATGAAACTAAATTGTGGTTCTTGTTAGCGAACTAACCGCTTGGTCTCAATAACTCGAGTTGTTGGGAAAGGGATAGTTAAGCCTTTTAACCTTTTATACGCCCCCTCAAACGAAAGCCTACCTTTATCGGGGTTTTTTATACGGTTTGCACAGGTTGAACGTATCATTCCTTGTGCTGCCAAACCCATTAGGCTTTCAGTTTGTACAGGTTGGACATACCATTCCTTGTACTAAACCATTGTTTGCTTAAATTGGGGGTCGTCATGAGGATTCGAAACCATGACCTTTCGGTTCTAGGCTCTGATACCATGTTAGCGAACTAACCGCTTGGTCCCATAACTCGAGTTGTTGGGAAAGAGATAGTTAAGCCTTTTAACCTTTTATAGTTCTGGTCTCACGATCTGGACCAAACCATACTATCTAGTCTACACTACAATTTTTCATACGATTTGGTTTGAATTTCCAATCCTAGAACTTCACATATGTGGCGGCTTGGCCTGGTGGCTTTACTCAAGATTTCCCTATGTTTGTTCGACTGTTGCTTAGCAGGTTTTAGATGTTAACAGCAACAACTCTATAAAGTACAAAACATGAATGAGATTAGGGTAGGGTAGTGAATGAGAAGACCTTAACGTTAACGAGGCTGGAAATTTTAAAAACTAGTAAAACTAGTAATAAAACATGTGTTGGTCGAGCATTTGGGTCCACTAAGGCGTGGGCTGTTTGGCCCAATTTTAAACCAGAAATGGGTTATTGTGTTTCTTGATCCGAGTCATTTAACCACAACAAAACACGGCAACCCATTTTTCACTCCACAAACGCAATACGCTGCATTTCCATTTTTTTTTTTTACATTCTACTACCCACCTTGACCTTGGTTTCCCCTCAACACGGCTAGGACGGGAAAATAGACCAGACCGTTTGAAAAACCGTGGACCAAATCGGACCGCACAGTTTGGTCCGGACCATAGACCGTGGATAATGGTCTGTATTATATGAAGTTTTGATTTCTTGGTCTGGTCTAGACTGCGGTTTACCGGACCTAATCGTGGATCCAGCCGACTTCCCAATACATGTTAGTAGCCCATAGGGCTGGAGATCGGGTCGGGTCCTAATACCCAGACCCAAAAACCCCCAGTTTGAGGAACCAGACCCGACCCAGACTCGATTCTTGGGTACCCGAGACTAAAAGCCACGGTTCTCGGGTATGGTTCGGTCACCAGAATACCCATCAGCCACTGAAGACAACCTGTTACAGCAGCTTTATTCAAGAGAAAAACGGACATGAAGAAACCAGAATCTGGAAAACTAAACATACACATGAAAAAAGAGTTACATAACAAACACAACGGTCGACGAAGATGACAGTGGTCGGTGGGATGGTAGATCAGTGATTTGGCGGTGGAAGGAAAGGAAAGGAGTGGGAACGAAGGGTTGCTTTCATTGTTTGCTGGAGTGGGAAGTGGAGAGTGGACAATTAGGGTTAAGGGCTGAGGGAGGGGAGGGGGGCGAACTTCGGTTGGGCTTGGGGCATGAAGGCTAGGCTGGCCCATATGTGTGGCTATGGGCCATATGATATTTGGCCATGTGGGTTGAGGAGCGGTTCCACTTCGGGTCCGGGTTTGGTTTACCTAAAACCCGAAAAACACCCACATACGATACCGAGACCCGTTTTTCACTATGATATGTCGGTTCTCGGGTACCCAAAACCCGGAAATTTCGGTCCGATTTTGGGTTACCCATAAAAGCGACCCCGAACGTCCAGCCGTAGTAGCCCACTCGACCACTTTCTCAACTCCCCCAATGAGACTCAAGTCTCAACCTTAATTTTCAAAATATCATCCCCTTCTTCATTCACAATCACATTTCACTAGAGAGTAGAGACGATCATGTCTCCATATAATATTATGTTAATGTTTGTGACATTATGGTGCGAGTTGGGATTCTTCGATTTTGTATCTTTCTTATTTACTAAGATTTAAAGTGTCAACATTATTCATGCATGTTGGATTTTATGTTTTAAGACAAAAAAAGAAGGTAAATTGCATGTTTGGTCACTAGATTTACTAAAAACGTTCATGTTTAGTCACTATAAATATTTAATTCCATTCGTGATCACTAACATTAATTCAATAGTTCAAGTTTGGTCACTATCCATTAGTCTCTGTTAACTTTTGTTGATGTGGCAGTCAACATTCATAGGTGACCGTTAAATGAATGATGTGGCTATTAAAAAAATAATAAACAATAAAATTAAATCTTTTTAATTTTACACCTACTTTCCACAACTATTAAAAAAAAACCCAAAACTTGTTCTCCGCCTCCAGCGAACTCTCCGCAACACCCAATCGTCAAATCCAAATCCACTAATTCCCAATCGTTGATCCAGATTTCGTCGATGGCGTTCTCGACAATGGTGTCTCGCCCTTTGCTCCCTCAATGTCCTCTTCACTCTCTCAGGCGGTAGCCGGTAAGTGTTGCCGGTAAGTGCTGAATTTCTGCTCAATGTCCCATTCGCTCCCTTCTCCCTTGCCGACAAGCTCGGCCGAATCGCAGGCTGGATTGGCAACAATCTAGATGCCGGAAGGCCTAACGCCGGGAAGAATGCATCCAATTCGGTTTTCGACTTCACCGCCGATGATTTCTTCCTCGCCGCGGACGGCGCTGGAGATGAGGACTTCCACCTCGTCGATGGGAAACTTCCTACTCGCCCTAACTTTGGCCCCAAGTGACGGTTCAACCAGTACAGGCCACAACTCCCTCAGCGTCGGGACGAGGAGGTCGAGGCGAAGAAGCGGGAGGCAGCAAAGGAAAGGGCGAGGCGGGACACATTGTACAACTTCAACCTGTCGAACTAATACCATCAGCATGGGGAGTTGGAGGAACATGAGTTGGATTTGACGATTGGGTGTTGTCATTTTGTTGTGGGTGGCGGAAGAAAAGCAAGCACGGTGGTGTGCTACTTACCAGAGCAGAAGCAGGGGTTAGCTGGCGGCGGGGAACAACAAGCTCTTTTGTTTTTTTGCCAAAGGTAACAACGAGCTTTTGCTTTCATTTTTTTAATAGTTATGAAAAATAGGTGTAAAATTAAAAAGAATAAATTTTATTTTTTATCATTTTTTAATAGCCACGTCAGTCATTTAACGGTCAACTATGAAAGTTGACTGCCACTTCAGCAAAAGTTAACGGAGACTAACGGAGAGTAACCAAACTTGAACTATTGAACTAATTTTAGTGACCACGAATGGAATTAAATATTTTTAGTGACCAAACATGAACGTTTTTAGTAAACCCAGTGATCAAGCTTGCAAGTTACCCGACAAAAAAACAATTGTTTTTCGCAGTTATTGGTTCAATTTTTAGTTGGCTGACTTAACAAAGTGTTCATTTTTCCTTCAAAGTAGTCTATCTGGACCAGACCGTACAAGCGTGGTCTGGGACCGTATAGTATGTGGTATGGTCCATGGTCTATACTTTAGTCTCTCGGTATGGACCGTAGACCGTTTATATGGTCTAGTCTGGACCAGATTACAGCCAACGCGGCAAGTTCTCATCACCCATCACCCAAATCCAGCGCCACCGGAGTAAATACTGCTCCGTCGACTCCAACCCACAGTTCATACACTGCTTCATCGTCTCGTCTCAATCCCGCCGCTTCCATCCTCCGAATCACGCAGGCATTGGTGTCATGATGTTAACTCCATCATCCTCGAGACTCATTCATGTTTATTACATGTTCCATAATTCATCAATTCTAATTGCCTGGAGCCACCAGTTTTGTCGAAAACTGCTAGCCATTCATTTTCTTTCGCCTACTCTTTTTGTATTCATTTGTTGTGATATAATATTATCATTTTGTAGATGTTGAAAATGGATTGGATTTATGGATTGACGGATTGGATTGGTGGATTTATTGATCAAATGGGTTGGTAGGTTCATGTTTTGAATCAAATGGATTGGTTGATTGAATAATGGATTCAATGACATCTAAACATTGGGTCAATATGTAAAAATTGATAGTTTAGATACTACGTTGCCGTAATAAAAAAAACTTCAGGTACTAAACGTAATTTTTCAATGATTTTTTTTTGTTAAAAATAAATTTTAGGTATCAAATTGTAAAATGTAAAATATATAGATTCCAAACGTAATTTGTCAACAATCCATGAATCCACCGATCCTATGAGATTTGGATGGATTGGATTTAAATAAATTTAATTGGATATTTAAGTGAATGAATTGAATTGTATTGGTGGATTAGATACTAACTGACAACGGGAAAGAGACTTTAGGGACTTCACCTGCAAAGTGATCAGATGTAACACGCTATAATCATCTCAAGAGAAAGCAATCTATGCTTTCATAGAATGATGTTGAAATAATTAGGTGACCTTGGTACTTTTGCTTCTCTGTCCTTTCCATCTATCGTTTGCATAAGCCTGTACAATATTTTCTTGCATTTCCTCCACTAAGAGTTGGATGTTTAAGCTTTACTTCATAGCCTTTTGGATGTTATAATAGACTTCGATCGTGGGAGGAGGCGCCAATATCGCGCTCCGTGGTAGTTTCGGTGGAGAAAATAATATTCCACAACTGGAATTTCCTCGACGCAAGCGTCAATAAAAACAAGGAGGAACTAGGAGCTTGATTCTGGACATAGGAGTTTCATTAATTCTTTTGCCATGTCGTTATCCGTTTAGGCGTTTACAATGGTTGTACTGTGGAGACACGATGTGTTCTTTAGTTTTAGAGGCAAGGACGCCCAGGTCAATTCACAAACAATCTCCTCGATGCTCTGTTGCGCAAGAAGATCAACTGTTTTGTGGATGATAACCTAGAAAGAGGAGGAGATAACTCCTATGCCCTTGAGGGCTATAGAGCGATCAAGGATTTTGGTGGTGATCTTCTCCAAGAACTATGCTTCCTCCCATGGCGTGTGGATGAATTGGCCAAAATCCTTGATTGCCGGAACAAATATGGGCTTGTTGTTCTGCCGGTTTTCTATTGTGTAGGCCCATGTGAGGTTGATAAGCAGAACGAGAGGTTTGCAGATGCTATTTTTGAGTTTGAACTGAATTTCAAGGACAAATTGGACAAGGTGCCAAGATGGAGAAGTGAGCTAACCAGGGCAGCTAGTATATATGGATGGGACTACCAAGTTATTAGGTAAGTTTCATGATCCTCAATGCTATGCAATAGGGAATTCTATTAACTCTTTGATTGGTATATGAGCATGTAAGCTTATAATTATCTATCTCGGTTTTGTTAGGCCTAAATCCATACTTGTGAATGAAATTGTGGAAGACATTTTGAAGAAGCTTAATGGTGCATCCTCTGGTTATGCAAAGGGTTTGGTGAGAATGGATTCGTGAGTTCTATGAGTTAAACAAATGCTGCATATTCAGTCGCCGGATGTTTATTTTTGGGTATTTGGGGTATGGGTGGTATAGGTAAGACCACAATTGCCCAAGGTTTTTACAGCGATATCTATGCTACATATGAAGGTTGCTGCTTCTTTGAAAATGGTCGGGAAGAGGCAAAACATCATGGTGGACTAGTTCACTTGAGAAGAAAATTTCCGTCACAGATATTAGAGGATCAGAATCTACATTATTCCACCACCACCACCACTACACTAGGATCCACCTTCACTGTGAAGAGGATCCAACGCAAGAGGGTTTTGCTTGTTCTTGATGACGTGAATGATGTTGCTCAAGTGGAGTTCCTTATTGGAATGTGTGACTTATTTGATCCTGAAAGTAGAGTCATTTTAACATCTAGAGATAAGCAAGTGCTCGAAAACTGGGTGGATGAGATCTATGAGGTTCAAAGTTTAGATCATTGTGAAGCTCTTCTTCTCTTCTCTTCCAAAGCCATTAGGAGGAACTGCCCCATGAAAGATTTTGTGGAGGAATCCAACACGGTGCTGAATTATTTACAAGACAACCGTTTAGCCCTTAAAGTACTGGGTTCCTTCATCTTAGACTGAACAAAGGGATTTTGGAAAAATGCACTGGCTAAACTCGAAAGAACTTTTCGCCCAGAAATTCATGATATATTGAGGATAAGTTTTGATGGATTAAGTGATGAGGAGAAGAGCATATTTCTCGACATTGCTTGCTTCTTTAAAGGCCAGGATATTGATTTTGTGAAGGGGATACCGGATGGTTGTGGTTTTGGGGATAGATATTGGAATCATTGTCCTAACCAATAGGTGCCTTGTTACTGTTTCAAAAAATAAGATATTTATGCATGATTTATTGCAAGAAATGGCTCAAGAAGTTGTTCGACGGAAATCCATTAAAGATCTGGGTAAGCGCAATAGATTGTGGTGCCCTAATTATGTCTATCAGGTTTTGACAAAAAATCAAGTAAGTGCATTGTTGTTCAATTCACCTTAGGTCATGCCTTCAGTTTAACACTCATCCAACATGCAGTTATATGTTATAGTTTTAATTTCTTCTTGTTTACTGCAGGGAACCGAACATGTTGAAGGGATTTTCTTGGATGTTTCTGGAATCAGTGCTATGGAATTGGGTCGTCAAGCATTTTCAAGGATGCATAATCTGAGATTGTTGAAAGGCTATGATTGTGAGGTTAAAGATAGTCATAAGGTACTCATTCCATTTGGGATGCAGTTTCTTTATGATGAATTGAGGTATCTTCATGGGATGGATACCCTCTCAGATCTTTTTCATTTAAAAGTTGCTCCAAGAACCTTGTTGAAATTAGACTGGCATACAACAACATTGAGCAACTGTGGACAAGAGTTCAGGTACATAATCAATTTGTGGACAATGATGTTGTTGGTTTCTTTCTTGAAATGTATGCTAACCCTTAGCTGTGTTTGTCCATAGGGTCCAGCGAATTTAAAAGAAATTGACCTAAGTTGTTGTAAGAATCTGAAGGCAATCCAAGACATGTTTGGGTCCATAAAACTCGAGATAATGAATTGTGCGAACAGTTCAAGTTTGGTGGAAGTTCCCTCGTCGGTTGAACGTTTGGTCAACCTTACTGATCTCGATCTTAGAGGTTGCTCAAGCCTTGTGAGTCTTTCAAGTTCCCTGAATATCCAATCCCTCAAGACGCTTAACCTCTCTGGTTGTTCAAGCCTGAAGAAAAGCCCTGAAATCATGGGATGTATAACCTACCTCAATATGAACGAGACAGCAATAGAAGAGCTTCCACGATTAGTTGCATACCTCAGTAAACTTGTTGTACTTAATGCAAAGGGTTGTAAACGATTACAAAGCATTCCAAATATGTCCCTGCTGGAATCCCTTGTAATCGACAATCTCTCTGGATGTTCTAGTTTCATCAAGTTGCCGAAAATTTCAAGGAGCGTAAAATACTTTTACTTGAGGGAAAAAAAATTAGAGGATCTCCCTTCCTGGATTGGTAATCTTTCTAGGATCTCATATTTTGATATGACGAACTGCAAAAGGCTCAAGAATCTTCCTAATGCACTTTCTAAGGAACATAATTTCAAATGAACATAATTTTTTTTTGTATTTAGATGAAACAGGGATAGAAGAAATACCATCGTCTATCGAGGGTCTCTCTCGGCTTGTTGAACTGCATTTGTACGCCTGCAAAAGTTTTCGGATTCTTCCTGATAGTATGTGAGTTGAAATTTCTCTACAAGCTTAACCTTTTAGGATGCTCCAACTTTGAAATTTTCCCACCTATTACGAAGCCTATGAAAAGGTTTAAACTCTTGCTTCTGGATGGAACTCCGGTACGCGACTTTTGTTTTCCTAGAAGCATAAGCAATATGCCCAACATTTGCACTTTGGTATTAGGAAACTACAATTTTTGAAGAATCTCATCCTCGGATGGCTTGAAGACTTATTTTTTAAACTACAATCTATCTATTTGTGACTTCACATTAATGGAAACGTTATTTCTGAGTGGAAACAAGTCCCTGGGACTACCTTTTGGTATCGGCATACTATCCAATCTGCAATTCCTTGGAATAAAGAATTGCTTGGAGCTGATTTCATTGTTAGAAATTCCACTTCAACTGGAAAGTTTGGACGCATACAGTTGCCCGTTGGTAGCAAGAATATCGAAAGGTCCTTGGGATCAACATGTTGGAAATTTCTTCAATTTTTGTTTCACTGGTTGCATAAGTTTGGACAAGACTGCACACGATGAAATCTTTGCACATGCTCTGCCCAAAGCTCGCGATACTATAAACGTCTACACAATCAGGTCTGTCTTCTAAACTTGTAAATTTGTATGTGCATATTTTGCCCACTTGAAGCCATCTATCTCAATCGCATCCATCGGGAATTCCATGTTGTAGAAGTTTCTTGCAGCAGCCATTGAATCTAGTTTTTGCGGGCAAAGTTCTTGATGTTCGCTAACTATGTAGTTGCCTTCAAATGGAGAAGTGGCAGATTTGGAGGCTTATCAGTCTGTGTTGTTCTGGGATTGTGGAAACATCATCATTACTATGATATAAAACTCAAATGCACACTTCAATTCAAGACTCATGGTGCTGATTCAACAATAATTGTCCATCACTGCTACTTCGGTGGCCGCGGGATGCTTCATGAAAGTTCTATCCTGTCAACTAATCTTTTATTTGGCTATGACCTCGGTATCATTTAAGAATCCTTCCTGAATCATTTAACTCGAACATGCAATGAGGTACACGTTCAATTATGCCCAGAAGACATGGACCGCAACCCTCTGTCGCCTTCGACTTGTTGTGACGTGATTGCTTGTGGAGCAAGTTTTATTAATGCCCAAGCAGAGGAATATCTGGACTTACAAAGCCCTGACCATCTCCAGGAAGATCATTAAAATTCTGGGCAATGCGACAGGCAGGGGCGGACCCAAGGTCCCGAACACTGTAATAATCTAAATCTTCCCGAAAAGTACACAGAGAAAGAAAATGAAATTGAGAAGGGAAATAGGAGAAAGAGAAGGATTGGGAGAAGATTGACAGAAGGAAAGGAAGGAGAGAAGCACATAGTAGTTGCGGAAGAAGATGGAAGAGAACAGAAAGATACAGAGAGAGTTGAGAAAAAGCTTAGATATGAAGATAATTGAGGGATAAATCATAAAATGAAGGGTTCTGTTTAGTTCTTGTTCGTAAGGGATGTCGTTCTTGTTCGTACGGTTGGCTCACGACTGGTGGGATTGGAGCTGTTGTAATTTGATGCTATACACCTGCTGCCTAGTCCATGGGATCCTCGCTCGCTCAGCACACAACTTGAAGAATGTGGGTAAAATATCTAGGGTGTCACTAAAGTTTGAGTATTAAGGGGAGTTATACCAGTAAATGCAAGAAGACGGAGGGCATTTGGAGATCCCTCAACCCCTCAATATCAAATTCGAAACAACATTAGAGGATCTCCCTCCCTGGACTGGTAATCTCTCTACTATCTCATCTTTGGATATGACGAACTCCAAATGGCTCAAGAATCTTTTTGATGAACTTTCTAAGCTCAATGCTCTAGAAAAGCTGATTCTCCAAGGTTGTTCAAATATCACACAGTTCCTAAAATTTCCAGCAAACATAAAGAAGTTGTATTTAGATGAAACGAGGATAGAAGAAATACAATTGTCTATGGAGGGTCTCTCTTAGCTTGTGAACCTACAAAAGTTTTTAAATTCTTCCTGGTAGTATATGTGAGTTGAAATTTCTCAAGAGACTTAATCTTTCAGGTTGCTCCTACTTTGAAAATTTCCCACCTATTATGAAGCCTATGAAAATGCTTAAGCACTTGCATCTGGATGGAACTCCGATACGCAACTCTTATTTTCCTAGACGCAGTAGAAATATGCCCAACCTTTGCTCTTTGGGCCTAGAAAACTACGATTTTGGAAGAATCTCTTCCTCGGGTGGCTTGGAGACTTATTTGTTCAACATTAGTCTATCTTTGTGTGACTTCACCTCATTGGAAACGTAATTTCTGAGTGGAAACATGTCCTGGGAACTAGCTCTTGGTGTCGACATACTATCCAATTTGCAATTCCTTGGAATAAAGAATTGTTTGGAACTGATTTCATTGATGGAAATTCCCATTCAGCTGGAAAGTTTGGATGCAGATAGTTTCCTGTTGGTAGCAAGAATATCGACAGGTCCATGGGATTAACATGCTGGGAATTTCTTCAATTTTTCTTTCACTGGTTGCATAAGTTTTGACAAGACTGCAGATGAAATCTTCCCACATGCTCGACCCAAAGCTCGGCGATACTATAAATGTCTACACAACCAGGTCTGTCTTCCGAAACTGTAAATTTGTATGTGCATATTTTGCCAACTGGAAGCCATCTATCTCATTCTGATCCATCTGGAATTCCATGTTTACAGAAGTTTCTTGCAACAGCCATTGAATCCACTACTTGCTTTCCCGGGAGCAAAATTCTTGTGTGGTTTTGCTGTCATAGTTTTGGATGCTCGCTAACTATGCAGCTGCCTTCAAATTGGACGAGCTGTGGATTTTGGGGCTTATCAGTCTTTGTTGTTCTAGATTTCAAGAAGCATCATTATTACTACTATGACTATGATATCCAACTCAAGTGTACAATTCGGCTCAAGGCCCATGGTGTTGATTCAGCAGTAGCTGTCCATCACTGCTAGTCTGCTACTTTGGTGGCGGCGAGATACTTCGTCGAAGTTCTACCCTGTCTCGTCTCCTATTTGGCTATGACCTCAGTATCCTTGTAGAAGCCTCCCGAAATTATTTAACTGGAACATGCAATGGGGTACACATTCAATTCTACCAAGAAGACGTGCACGGCGACACGTCGTCGCCTTCGACTTGTTGCGATGTGATTGCTTGTGGAGCAAGTTTTATTAATATCAAGCAGAGGAATATTATAAATATGTGCTCGTTCTCAACCTTTAATTTTGTTCTCTATTATTAATCAATCTGTCGTGCAAGTCAATTATTTGTGTCCATTGTTAATCAATCTCTGCAAGTCAATTTTTCCGTCTCCAATATTTATTTCGTATTTGTGGGTTTGTCGTCGCGTCGCTGCATGGGATTAGGGTTTTGGCGTTGCATGGAAGTAGTTTTTTTGCGTTGTCGCTGCACAATAGTGTTTATTTTTAAATTTTTTGGTGTCTATTATTAATCATTTCGTGGACGTTCGCAAACTTTTTTGTGTCCATTGTTAATCAATCTATGCTCGTTCTCAACCTTTTGGTATCTATTATTAATCATTTCGTGGGCGTTTACAAACTGTTTTTATCTCCATTGTTAATCAATATGTGCTCGTTCTCAACCTTTTGTTCTCTATTATTAATCAATATGTCGTGCAATTGGTAATTTTTTGTAATGTTCGTTGCTCACGTGACAATTTTTTTAACACCGTTATCAATTTTTTCGTGTTATGGTTTTTATCCAAATTCTGTAGAAAATGGTAAAGTTTATTTTTCTATATTTGTACAATTCTGATCCGCCATTATCAACAATATTAAGTTATGTTCGTTATTAACATTTTCTGTTTGTATTGATCATTATTAGAGAATGAGTTATTAATATTTTTATATGTAATTTTTAATTTTTTACAGTGGTCCACAATATTGCGCGTACAAAGAATACAACCTGTAAGTCTGCACCGTTTAGTAAGCCTATGAAGAAGAATGCAGATGCACCCATAGTGTCTGCTTAGGGTTTTTCACTAATACAGTAATGATCAATTTACGTAGCCATGATTTGTAATCTTTTGAAGGGCTATGATCAATATTTTTAGCCACCCAATAATCAACGTTTGTCATATCGTGAATGTTTTCTGATAGGCTTGTTAATTATGTTATGTTGTGTTATTAACCTTTTTATTGTCGCTTTGTAATTATTTTATCAATTTGTTTGTAATCGATATTAATTCACTAATATAGTTTAATATCAATTTAGTTCATAGTGATTTGTAATGTTTTGAAGTGTTGTAGTCAATCGTGCATGATTTGATAATGGCTCGCCTTATTATTAAGCATGTGCTATTATTAATCTGTCTGCTGAATTTACGTGTAATATTATCAATCTTAGTTTATTATTAATGTCTCTTCATCCATTAGTAATATTTTCAAAGTCATGTTCAATTTTTTACTAGTACTAACCTGTCGGTTTAATTAACGTGTAGTATAAACAATCTTTGTTCATTATTAACGTACTTTCAGCATTAGTAATATTTTGAACATAATAATCAATTTTTTTGTAGTGCTACATGATATACCACAATCCAAGATCTGTATGAACAAACTTGTTTTCGGCCCGCTACGTCCATCGCTTACTATTGAAAAGAAACGCGACAGAGTTGTCAGCGTAACGGAGGAGCCTGTGGATTGAGCAGCTGGTGGATTGAGGTTTTCAAAACAATGTACGGATTTGTCAACATTTTAAACAGTATATATTAATGATTAGGCATACGTTATTACCATTTTTACTGACGCTACTAGAATTATCAATAAAAAACGCGATGTAATGGTCGTATTGTCCACAGTATTAACCTATGCGACTCTATTATTAATTATATTACTGAAATTATTAACCAGTAACTAAAATGTCGTGTGAATAAGGGGAGCCTCTGATTTGAGATTTTTAGAGCAACGTAACGGAGTTGTCAACGCTGTCAACAATACATATTAGTTTTTTCACATACGTTATTAACATTTTTCCGTGATGCTATTATTAACATTCTCAATCAAATTGAAACGCAATTTACCGATCGTGTTGTAAACATTATTAACCTACCACATCATTATTATTAATGAGATCATCGGAATAATTAACCAGTTACTAAAATGATGTCACAATATGATGAGAATATGATTTGAGGTTTTTAAAGCAACTTAACCGAGCTGTCAACGTTTTAACAGTACATATTAATGTTTTCACCTACATTATTAACATTTTCAAGTGACGCTATTATTAACATTCTCAATCAAATTGAAGCTTGATTTACTTGTTGTGTTGTAAACATTTTTAGTGACGCTATTATCAACTTTTCAGCTTAGTATTATTAACAATATACAATAGCATTATCAACATTTCCTACATAATTTACAACAAATGACGAATTCATTATTAACAAATTCTCTTCGTTTTTCAACGTAAACAATAATATTATTAACAAACTTCGCCTCGACAGAGGAGGACCGGCAAGATGGGGCGACGACCGGATGGGGAGATGTTGAATGGCGTAGGACGACAGCGGAGTCGGGCAGGATGACTGGACGCCGACGTGATGACTGGACGCCGACGCCGGGTTGGCGACGTGACGACCAAACGCAGACGCCGGGATTGCTGACGAAGATTGTCCAGACGACGGCGGCGAGTGTCGAAGCGGTTTTAGGGTTGGGAGAACGACATGGGCTTGAAAATAAATCTCCACCCATGTTTGTTTTATTTTCGGCAGTTTCCCAATAGTAATTATTAATAGTTAATTTTTTACTCTATTCCTTTCTTACCCTTCCAAGTTTTGATTTGGTAGTTGGACAATGATTACTAATGATTCTCTCTCTCCTTCTCCTATTGGTTGAAAAGGCCTGTTACGATAAGTTGTGGCATTAGATAATTATTTTCCTTTTCAGCATTTCCCCTCTCTTGCCTTTCATGTGTGGTTGAGTTTATTGATATTTCAATTAGCTTTGATTGTCTTGCTTCCTTCCATGAATATGGATTTCTCAAAGTTTGATTGTTACTTGAAATATACATTTTTTGGATGACGAGGAACCGTTCATTGGAATATATTTAATTTTGAGTGAACTCAAACTTATGGCTTTTAGTATCAAGGTTTTGAGTTATATACAATATAGTGGATGCGCAAGCACTTCATTTTTTTATAGGTATATCCGTCTATGTAATATAGCTATATAATAAATGAAGACACTCCAAATTTTTAATCCAATTTTTTTATTATACTATTGTTTAACGAAATGACTTTTGTCACGGAATGTATAGTGAGAGATCTCTAAGAAATATTGCTTACTTTATTCCTTCTGAGGTGGATATTATATCCACCTTCTTCAAAACTTTTACTTTGGATCCAATTTGGTATACTTCTTCATTTAGCTAGATATTTTATAATGTTCAGGATGTAATATACAATTATTTACCAGTCTATAGGATATTAGTTCCACTCGTTTTAGGTGCAAATTGATGCATTTCTTTTTTCCTTTACTGTTTCCTTTTCTCGGTTACAAATTTTTTGCTAGCAGTTTTCACTCATGTGAAATAAAAAGGGTAGAGAGACTTTTCGATGAAGAAGACTTGGCTTTGACTCAACATATTATATTCGATGCGAGTAAAAGAAGATCCAAAAAAATGGATAATTTCCTTTTCTTAGTAGATTTTGGTGAATCAACAATAAAAAAATATAAAGAAAAACCGAGATAAAAGTGATATAAGAAAGCAATGCTTGATTTCTTCCTACGACGATGTTTACGTTTTTAATTACCATGAGAGGATTTTTTAAATAAAAAATAATTAATAATATGTAATCTATAGTCTTCTGGTTAGACTGACAATCTGAGAGAAATTCTTATATCTTATGTTTAAGAAAAGAAATAAATCTAGATATTCTAATGATCGTGATTGGATCCGCATATATTGGGTAAAAAGAAGAATCTTTCCCTTTGAGAATAATGAGCAAAATAAAAGTCTTTAATTGGAACATGAAAACGTCTTCTAATGTTGCACTCTTCTAAAATTATAGTCGTATAGATTTACTAACTGCCACTCAATAAGTCGACAAGGATGCTACCTTTAGAAAGTCTTTCTATTGCTTTTATTTTACATGTGACAGACACTTATTAAATACAGTAAAGTCCACAGGACATACGTTTTGTTGCATAGTGAAAATTGATTATGCATGTACCATGAAAAATGATTCTTATGTTGTCCTTCGTAGACTTATTATATCGATAAGACTTTGTTTGGAAAGATATATGTCGGTTTAGATGAATTCAAGTTTGTAAATATATTAGAGATGTGAACGATGTTCGATATTTTTTAAACTTCAACAGTCATATACATCAAATACTTTTTCTGCATTATTGATTAGCAACTTGCTAACCAAATATCTACTCCAAGCCTCAACAACATTAACGAAAAAACAAGCAATATTAGCTACACTAATACATGAGTATCAAACCATCCGACCAACGGACCGGACCCTAATCTAGTGTAAGATAAGTGAGAGAGTGAGGTCTCATTAGAAATTCAGAATAGCGCCCCGCTCAAAGGGAGCCCCGTAACAATAATGCATTTTACAACTGAATTGGAATTAAACCAAGGTGATGGTGGTTGGAACAGATGACCAGCCTTTAGCCTTTACTACCTGCCACACTGCGTTGACCTTCGACTTCTAACAATCTGGTTCAAAACGTGTGTTAGGTCATCCGTTCTTCTTTGCAAGCAGTGTGCAGTCTTCGCACCGAATAATCTAGACCAGCATTAGCAAACCTTTCCTTTCTCTAAGTGAAACGAATAACAGATGATCCAGAGCACCATGAATCAGAAGAAGAAGAAGAAACTCTACTGTTACAACAGAGCACAAAAGAAAAAGAGAGAAAGAATCAAGGTTTTTTCAGGTCTCCCAAGTAGCTAAATCAAAATTCACATCTGATTATCTACCTCTCTCCATCCCCAGTTTGTGCACAGATTGGTGGAAATTACATTACATATTCATTTTACAGCCACAAGAAAAAGAAATCACTAACAAAGAGCAAAACACAAAACAGAAGTAAGAAGAAGTTATCTGCAGGTGATAATAATAATAATGCAATAGTTCAACAAAATATCAGTACTGAGGAGCATAATAGTACCCTGCAGCAGGCATTACCATCCCGTTGACTTGCGGCGGGGGCATCCCATACGGCATAAGACCTGCTGCTCCATGAACCCGGGCCAAACTCGCTTGACCTTGCATCCCACTCCTCGCATACTGCTGCCAAACCACCTGCTCCTGTACAAGCAAGTGCTGCTTCTTCTCCATATCGGCCATTTGCACGTACGAAGGAGGTGGAACGATCAACGAAGCTGCGAATGGGTCCTGATTAACCGCCTGAACTGTTCCGTCGGGAGCTGGGAGGGCCAGAACCGGGGTCGTGGTCTTCCCTGGACCGGCCAAAGCCACGCTGCTAGCACTACCTCCGCTTAATTGAGCAGTCCCGACGTGTTGCCTAACCACTCCCTGATCATACATCCCGTTCAGCAGCAGCGGGTCGAGCCCACCCCCCATTGCTGCTTTCTGGTTTGATAAATTACTAGCTGTCTCGACCAAGGCCACCTCCCAATCTGCTTTCCCCGGTTCAGCAGCCGGGGTCTGCCAAGCCGATGTCACTTCAGGCTGCCCGTTGTTCGACGGGAATGCCTCCCAAGACCCATTTCCACCATTGCCCGCCGGCCCATTAAATAATGCCAACGCGAATCGATTACCTTGATCGTCTGCAGTCATACCACCTTCCCTCAGGTTCACCAAATCTTCAGTATACTGTGGCTTAGGAGGCTCTGGCTCAGGCTCGGGAGCTGGAGCTGGAGCTGGAGGTGGATTGGAAGTCTCTGGTGCGGGAAGTGCCTTGATTTCATTCATTTCCGGTGCAGGCGCTTCCTCGATAGCAAGAGGTGCCTCTTCTTTCCTCTCTGGACTCTTGGGCCTCTTTGCTCTATCCCTAACGAATTCCTCCAATGTCTCTAATAGCTTCCCAGTAATCCTCTGCACCTCCGGATACTCTGATGACCTAGCTACTCCAGTGTCTTTACACCAGTTGTAGAATCCAATGAGCTCATCAATCTGCTTAGCAGCACTAGCATAAGCATCAAGTGCCTTGACACAATCTGGGTACTCCATATCAAAGAACTTATCGAGCAACACGGCTAGAACCTCGCATACATCAGCATACAATTGGAAGCTCTCTTTCACTACTGGGTATGCAGCCATCAGTATCAATCTACTGGTTTTCGCTAGCCCTGTTGGCCGGCAAGACAAGAATCGATCCAATAGCCTCTGCAAATGAGACATCTTACCGAAAAGTCTCTCCGGCGTCATGTCTCGTATCGGGGTGGTGGCGGCGGCTCCTGGCTTGTCGCGTCCATCTCTTCCCCCCGCTGCCTCCGTCACATCTCCGAAAGATCTGGATCTTCGAGTCATTCCTGGAGCCCCACCACCATCGCTGTACTCGTAGGCCCTAGGAGGCGGCGATCTGAAATCGCCTCTTCCTCCATACCTATCGATTTCGCCGCCGCCGCCAGAGGCAGAGCCTTTTCTGTCGAACAAGACCATCTCGAGCCGCTGATCGAGATACATAGCATAAGTCCTGACGAAAGCGGAATGATCCCAGGAGCTGGAATGCGCCTCATCCCTAAAATCGGACATGTTGAGAAGCCTCGTCCCTCTCCTGGTGGCGTACAAGATCTCCTCCTGGAAGAGCGGATCTCCGTCGTTGAGGAGGCGGTGGACGACGATGAGCGATTTCAGCGCCACGATCCAATCCCGCGTCTTGCTCAGCCGCTTCGATACGGCGGCGACGCAGGCGCTGACGTAGCCGCGGGAGTAGGAGGTCAGGTTGAGGATTTCGCGTATGTACTTCTCGTTGGGCGGGTCGTCGTCGTGGCTGGTGGCCTTCACCATCGCCACCTCCAGCTCCGGCGCCATGTTGCTGGCCACCTTCGCTATCCCGATGCTCGTCTGGTCCTTCACCGTCCCGATCGCCTTCCGGATCGTGCTCGGCGCCATCCTCGAAGCTCCGATCTAGCTTCAAACCACTCCCTAATTATTCAACCGAGTCCACTGGAGAGACTGTCAGTTAGTTTGTTTAATTGTTCTGTACTGTTGATCACGGTTGGTAAAGTAATTAATGAGCAAGAACAGCATCCTTTCGGAGACTCACCGTTGCTGTAATGGCAGATCGGGGAGATTCAGTTTTGAAAGCCGTCGGCGGCGAGAGTAGCTGGCGGCGGAGTATGAGACAGGAGGAAATCGGCGGTGGCTATGAAGATTCTCTCCGGCCGCGTCGGAGGAGAAACCAAATCAAAAGCCGAACGAAATGCAATGACCGAGAAAAGCGGGATTTTAATGGGGAAGCGCGGCTGGGGAGGTATACGTGAAGGAATAACGGCCGTTGATGCGGCCGGATCAGAAGGTTAGGCGTGATTGTCGGAGGGAAGGCCTATGATTGGTCGGGAAAGGAAGCAACTGTCGTCGGTGGTGGCTTGAAGGTGGATGAACTAAAGTCTAAAATGGAAAGGGGAGAGGAAAGGAAGGATGAAGGGCGGGGTGGGGCTTTGATTGTCTGTGGGCGGGAGTATTTTTGGGTAGCATACGACGCGTAACGTGTACGGTGATAACGACCTCTCTTCTTTTTTATTTTATTTGAACTCTTATGATAGGTGATTAGGTGGTTTGGCGGTGGTAAGGTGACCAAATTTGTAAGAAGCCAGTTGTTTTGTGTCTGTAGCAACTAGCAATTGATTCTTTTTCTTTGTTGCATTCACTCGCGCTTAGTATTCCTTAATTGTTTTGCTTAAAATAAAAACCTTACCTAGTTAATGACAACAATTTTTTTTTTAACAAAAGATACTCATATATTGAATCAAAAGAAGATAGTTACATCCTGGATCGAAGCCAGGCTTGAAAATCAAACAATCGACAAGGAGCCGGGTACAAAGTAAGGGCCTTTCTAGCCACCGTATGGGCTACCCTATTGCTATCCCGACATACGAATCGAATACTAAAACCCACATAATTCCTCATACACTGCACAATTTCTTCCAGAACCACCCCAATCCTGCTATCCCTGGTCTCGGCTTGGTTGACTTTGTCAATGACAATCTTGGCGTCACCTTCAAACAAAATACTCTGAAGGCCAAGGTGTTCACACCAAAGAAGAGCTTCTCTGAGAGCAAGAGCTTCTGCTACCAAAGGATCATCAATCGAAGGGAATTGGCACCCACGAGCCAAAATTATCTCGCGGCGTGTATCAAGCAAAACCATACCAGCACTCGAATGAGACCCAGCCCGCATAGACCCATCCCACATACAAACCATCGAAGGAATCAACGCCTGCTGATTTGCTATGGGAGCAACTGGTGGCCTATCCTGCGGCATCCTGGTACCCATCACATTTTCTCATTCCTCACACTGCTGGTGATACTGGCGCATCAAGGCCGAGAACCCAAACTGCTTGCCTTCAAAGACAACCCAATTCCGAGACTTCCAAATCCGCCAGAGAATGGCCACCACCGACATAAATACCGAGGGCTGCTGAATTATGTTTAACAGCCTCTTGAGGAAGAGAGGAAAAGTATGGCGGGGCAAGCCTTGCCCCAGATGCTCCAGCCCCGAGTAGTCCCACAAGGCCCGGGCCACCGTACAGTCAAAGAACAAATGCTCCATTGTTTCCGATGCTTCCCAACAGACCGGACATCGAGGGAAAACAGGGACCCGTTTTTCAATAAGTGCTTCCGTAGTTGGGAGGATGCGCTGGAAGATCTGCCAGACAAACACCTTCAACTTGGGAGGGATGTTAGCCTCCCAAACTTGAATCCAACTAGCTCTATCCATCCAGCTGGCCATAGACCTCAAAGGCCTTGTCTTTTATCCAGATCAACAATTAGATGATAGGCTGATTTAACAGTAAACGTGCCGTCAGCCGTACCATGCCAAATAAGTTTGTCCTCCACAACGAGTCTTGGCAAAGGAATAGCCTTGACGCGGCGGCAAGTCGGGGGATCAAACCAACTGCCCCAGCTTGGCATCAGATCAACCACCCCCGTTCGGATCCATCACCTCCTCCACTCGAGGGTCACCCTCCACCGGAAGGACCTGTGGGTTAGCCACCGGAAGGTCAGGGTGAATTCGTGGGATCCAATTGGACCAGAGTAGTGACGCTTTTTTCCCGTCCCCAATCTGCCACCGAAGCCCTTTCTCAAGCAATTCTCTCCCAAACAACACACTTTGCCAGCCCCATGAAGGCCAGGATCGTGCAGTGGCTTGAAGAAAGCTTCCAGTAGGAAAGTATTTACCCTTATAGACCTATGCCAATAGGGAGGTGGGCTCATCGAGGATGCGCCATCCGATTTTAGCCAGTAAGGCCTGGTTAAACTGTTCAAAGCGGCGGAACCTCATCCCCCCTCATGTTTACTACGACACATATTCCGCCAGGAGACCCACCGGATTCGTGACTGATCATTTGTCCCACCCCACCAAAATCTGGCGACATGTTTTTCAAGCAATCTACAAAGGGACAAAGGCAGCTTGAAGCAAGACATTACATGGAGAGCCAATGCTAATGCAATGGATTTAATAAGAGTTTCCTTAGCTGCCCACGATAATGTACGCCGCTTCCATCCTTGTAATTTTTCGAGCAATTTCTCCTCCAGGTAGTGAAAGGTCGCCATTTTTGAGCGGACAATTAGAGTTGGTAGCCCCAGGTATTTATCATGACCCCCACTGCTCCCACTCCCATAACTGCCGCCAAAAACACCTGGTCCTCCTGGTCTATATTCTTGCTAAAGAAAACAGCCGATTTATCCAGATTCACACGTTGGCCACTCAATTCCTCATATTCGTTTAACACATCTATCAGATTTTCAAATTCCTGGAGGTTACCCCGTAGGAATAGATATGAATCATCTGCAAAGAATAGATGAGAAATACGAGGAGCACGGGGGGGCAACCTTCACACCTTCCAGCTTCCCTTCCATTATAGCTTTGCGAAGAAGTGCCGCGAAACCTTCTGTACAAAGTACAAACAGAAGCGGGGATAGATGGTCCCCCTGTCGGAGTCCTCGGGAGGGCGAGAAGTACCCCGAGGGAGTGCCATTCATGAGAACTGAAAAAGACGTAGACCGAAGGCATTCCTGTATCCATCCTCTCCAGACCGAGTTGAAACCCATTTTCTCCAAAACCGCCAGAAGATACGGCCATTCGACTCTATCATAGGCCTTTTCCATGTCAACCTTTAGAGCCATGTACCCTTTCTTACCACGGGTTTTGATTTTCAAATAGTGCATCAACTCGTGACCAATTAGGATATTCTCAATAATTTGCCTTTCTCGAATAAATGCATTCTGACCTTCCGAGACAACTGATGGTAAAATAGTCGCCAATCTAGCTGCCATGATTTTAGTAATGATTTTGTAAACAAATTGACATAAGCTAATTGGGCGCAATTGTCTCATGGTTTCAACATTTTCTACTTTAGGGATTAGGGTAAGCCACGTATGATTAAAGCTCCTGAGCATCCTACTTGTAGAAAAGAAGGAGCAGACCGCTTGAATCACTGAGTCCCCCACAACATCCCAGTAGGCCTTAAAAAACTTTCCAGTGAAACCATCAGATCCAGGGGCCTGCTTGGAACCCATAGAAAAAACCGTTTTTCTAACCTCTTGGGGTAAAACTTCTGCTGTCAGCATATCATTCATCTCCTGCGCCACATTTTGGGCAATGGGAAGACTCTCCACCCGGTTTAACATATTTGGCACTTGGTTTTTCGAGGTGAATAGATGCTGATAGAAGTGATTGGCAATATCAGCCTTCCCCTTCTCATCCGTAATCCACTCTCCCTCGTCATTTCGAAGCCTAGCCACATAATTCCTTTTTCGTCTAGTCTTAGTGACCGTATGGAAATACGAGGTGTTTAGACCACTTCCAAACGATGCTCTCATTTGAATTAAACAAGCAATTGAGGGTTGTTTAGATTATGAATTTATGATCGATAGAAAAGAAAATACTCAAATGAATATTCAAATATCATTGCTCTCAACTGGATCATTGGGCTAGTTTAGCCTTGTTGTAGTTTTTGCAGAAGCAGCTTCTGACTGTAGCTTTTAGAAAAATACTTTAAAATAAATAGTTGATTGTTTTGTTGAAAAACTATTAGAAGTGCTTTTTAATATGAGAGGTTATGTAAAATGACTATAAAGAATTTATAATATAAACTATGAATAAAAATTCTAAACAATAAAAAGTAGTCAAAATGGATTTGGTTAGATTGCTTTTATATTAAATAATATAATTTTTATTTTATTTTATTTTTAAAATGATACAAATAAAAATATATATTCTGTAATAAAATTAAAATATGATAAGAATAATATTGTATTTTCAAAACAGTTTTTCGCAGAAGCTCCTAATCGGAGTTTCTGCTTTAATATTATACAAAAGTGTTTTTCAGCTTTTCAAAATCCGAGCTTTTAAAGATATTTGGCCATGCTTCAACTTTTGAATTAAAAAAACACTTCTAAAACCGGGCCATTCGAAACAAACCATTGTTATGCTTCAACTTTTGTCTATTTTTCTCTATTTCAAATTTTTTGCAATGAGAGTGAATGTTGGAAGGACAATTTGGTCTTTATAATTAATGATTTATTTTATATAAAAATGTTAATATCAGGATTTGAACCCAAGTCTCTTCAAACAAAGACAACAATCCCAACCAATTACACTAAATAAATTTGTTGTATCTTTTTGAATACAAAACATACACGAAGTTAAACTCTGAGAATACGAGAAATTTTCCATCATGATTAGCAAGCCCACTAAGTCTACCGTATATAGTATTCAATTTAAATATAAATTTTTTGCTTTTTTATCTTTGTTCTTATCTCTTTTTAACTTCCTCCGAAATTCCCTACAACGTGCAATAGTTTGCGCCCCTTTCACTTGCCAATACAAAGTCGTCTTTGAAAATTAATCTTCTGGTATGTCTACACTACGATTTTATTGTTGGGGAT